TCTAAGGCTACTACTATTCTAGATATTATTCTAGATATAGAAGAGTTTAAAACTCTATAGTAGTAGATTTAAAAGACTACTAACTACGCCTTCTTGTCTATAAAGTCTATTTGTCGCATACTATTATTAGAGTTTAATACTAAGAAGCCTCTCTTAAGCCTAGCATTTCTAGCTCTTTTTTCTAATAGAGCTACTAAGTTTGTATACCTACGTATGTAAGATATTAATTTTAATAACTACGTGCGCTACCTAATATACTATAAGAATAGTTAATTTATCTAATACCTACAGTTTTATTTTACAATCTTTAATATACTTCTACGTTAATAAACTACTATAAAAGCTAGGTTCTACGTTTAGCGTAACTCTAACGCTAACACTATAACTACTAAGAATATATAAGTAGTCTTTAATAGAGAGAATAGTAGGTAGCGTCTAGTAGATTTAGTAGTCTAGTGTATATCTACTATTTATAGAATATAAGCCTATTAAACTACGTAAAAGAAGATACTTAAGGTAATAGTACGTGTTAACTTCTACTCGCCTAATACATAGACTAATACCTATTTTATAGGTATAATAACTATTCTATTTATTACTATTTATTACCTTCTTAGTAGCTAACTAATACTAGTACGACCTGTTATAGTTTAGCCTATATTTTAAAGAGTAGCGTAACGTAACTATAAGAAACCGCGTTAGAATAGTAGAAGAGTTTATTTGTAACAATTCTTACATAATAGCTTTCTAGTTCTACTAATAGTTTAAGTTATTTAAGAAGTACTACCTTATTCTAAGGTTTAATATATCTAACTCTTAGAACTAGTATAAATAGTAGAATTAAGGTAGCCTATATAGCTATAGTCTCTACTATTATAAGAGCGCTTCTAACTCTAACGTTAAGTTAGAGAATAAGGCTACTCTGTTTAGTATAGCTTATCTAGCCTAATACTAGGGCTATTATATTTCTACTATACACCCTAAACCTAATTTGTAATAGTTACCTAAGAAGAGCTTTATTCTTTCTCTCTCTTTTTTAGACATGCGCTTTAATTTCTAGAAACTATTATCTATCTTAACTCGCTACTATCTATATTAATACTAGGCTAGGTACTATCTCTAGAAAAATAGTAAGAATAGAGACGAGGTCTACTAATTTAACGTGCTGTAGCTTCTACTATAGACTTCTACTTTTAAGAAACCTAAGTCTAAGTTCTACCTTTAGTTTCTAGCTAAGCGTAACTATACCTACCTAAACGTATACTTATAAGAACTAGTT